AAGCAGGCTATGAAACTAAAAAGGACAGAAAAGAATATACCTGGGTCCATATTCACAAATGCTTCTAAAATGGTCTTGACTCAGCAGAGTCCCACTCCAGATGCTTCTGAGTGAGGCGTGGGCCGTGTGGCACTCACTTAAGAGGTTTTTCCATCACAGGAATGACTGAAACGTGTCAAGTCATTTAACACTTGTCCAAGGTTCCGTTGGTTTTCACTCCCCTCCGCCCTCTTTGAAGGTGGATTCTGTGAGCTAAATTTCAGCACCCCTCAGGAGGTAGTTCTACAATCACGTTCCAGGAACGCGGGGAGGAGGGGTGATGGGTGCTTGCAGTGCTGTCCCAGTGGCTAGTTAAATATCGGCATCTTTGCACCTCAGCTAAACACACATACTTTGTTTAAAGGTAAAATGATCTGAGTGCTTGCTGGTTTAGAGGTAAAACAGGGACTTCACTGAGAGGACTGCAGGCAAAGTGGTGAAGACGTCAGATTTCTGCAAGCTTGTGTTCTGCTTGTTCAACAGCTGTTTGATGACCATACAGTCACCATTACTGGCACATTTTGTTGCACTAAGGAGCACTGTGATCCTTCTTGACTCACATGCTCTGCTCAGCTGTGTGCGTGTGTGTGAGGAGCACAGCCCCATCCTTGTTTAAACAAAGATCGGCACAGGGAAAAACTGGAAAAACAAAACAGAGCAGTCATGTAGATCTGTGAGGTTATGCCGGGTGACAGTTAAGGGAAGCACAAGGTGTACTGTTCATAAGATCCCCACAGTGGAAGCTCAGAATTAGACACTGCCACTGGTCAATCCATGAACATCTCAGAATGCTTCTTTGAGTGATTTTAGAGCCAATAATGGAAATGCACTCCATAATCACAAATGTGTTTTACTGACAAAAATTCAAAAAATGATTGTGATGCAACGGTCCTTGAACCATAATCCTGCTATGTTCAGAATTACGGTTCAAGGTTTGGGTACAGTATTGTGGTATTTTTCTTTTTCCGGAGTCCAATAACAGGATCTGAGACATTTTAAGACCCCTTTATATCTTACAAATGAAGATTTTCTCAGACTATTCAAGGGCTCAGAAAAATAAAAAATCTCAAACAAATCAACAGTCTGGAGTCCTTTTAGTTTCACTTTGTCTGTGTGTCGAACCTTCCCGCAGTCTGGCTCAGATCATGTTCAAACCCATTAGCGTCCCAACTCAAAGCATATGTTCCAAGTTGCTGACCATTTTGTTTCATGAGACAATGACAAGGGGAATGTGGAAAGACCAAAAAAAAACAAAAAAAAAAAAAACCCCCGACGGTGCAGCAAAAAAATAAACCAGATGCAAACAAGGCTAGACCGAGACTGCCACTCACTCACAGACAGAGACATCCCATGTACAGAAGAAAGCCTGCTCTGACTTCAGGGTCACTGCCACTGTGTGTGTTTGTCAGTCTGAGTGTGTACATGCTCCACATGTATGTTTTCATATGTAGTTCAATGAGTAAAACCTTCCACGCTCCACAAAAGGTACTGGCTGTACTCTAAAACAGGAATCTAAATATTTTGGGGGGGGGGGGGGACATTACAGAAGGGATTGTATTTCAAAAGGCAGGCAACCCCCTCACTTCAGCTTTCTTTTCCCTCTCTCTTTGCTTTCAGAAAAGCTATAACTTTATTCATGTCTAAATGCTGTGGATGCAGTCAGAGAGGAACGCAGAGTAAGTAGGATTCATTATCTCTCCAATCTAAACAGGCTTTTACTTTCCCAGAACAGAGCTCGTATTCTATAAGCACTTAAAACATAGTGGGGGGCTGGGCTTATGGGAGCGTTTTTTGTGCGCGTGTGTGTGTGTGTGTATGTGCGAGATCCTAGGGTTCCGAAGAATGACAGGGTAAAACACTGCAGGCTCTGTGGAAGCCAGGAAACCACCTAATGTATTTATCCAAACACATATCTGCTGAGAGGCCCCATGGCGTCAACACATCCCCTTCCTACAAGGGCTTCACCTCCTAAAACTACCACAGAGAAAGTGGAAAAAAACAGCAGGACTGCACAACGTGGGCAACAAAAATCATTACACTGATTATTTAGACAAACACTGTGATTATCTGTTCCAGGTTTCTGAAAATGTTACTGCTTTACTACTCCTTAAACACACTGTCACTGTCTCACTTTTTCAGTGCTGTTTCTCAGACAAGCAGAAGGAAATGTTATTTTCACTCCTGCTGTCGTAATATGTCCTTTTACTAAAACAGCTCATAAACTGCTAATAAACAGCTATTTTTTTCACAGCTACAACCTGAAGGCAAACATCATCCACAATCTGTTCTTGTTTGTCGTCAGCTGGAATAAAACTCAACTGTCTCCCGCTGCCAAACATCACACAGATCCATCCTTCCTTTGCTTGTTTCTCTGTTTTCCTACAAAGGGCTTTTATCTAAGGGGTCTTTGTTGCTCCTCAGACTGAAATCTGCTTATGGTCAAGTGAAGCAACACTGCAGAATAAAAAACCAAGATTAACCGTACCAGGAATTTCAAAGGAACTGAAAACAAAACCTGTCAACGTCAGTGATAGAAGCATAAAATAATATATTTCAAAATAAACAGGAAAATTTTACAAAAAAGTTCAACCTTGCAGATTCAATATTTTTATCATTATTTGTTTGGTCAAATAGAAAAAGAAGGGGCCTCTTCAAACATCAAGCAAAAAACTGCTCTGGTGAATCCCATGCTGTCTGGCACATGTTAACCTTGATTCATATTGAAGCATTGGGCCTGATTTACTGCCGTCTGTCAATGGTTAAAATGGACTGACATAACACAAACTGCTAGGTGACCTCGTCTCCATTTCCACATTCGAGGCACTGATGCTTACTGTGCTGGTAGCCCTGCTCATAGCTACGGAATCCCGAAACAACACAGCAGCACCGTAACGTGAACACTCCCACCAATGGGAGACAGGTACGAAAGACGATTCCGTAATTTGACCATCTCTCCAAAATAACCCGGTTTACATGAACATGATTATCTGAACAGAACTGCGGGTAACCTAAGTGTCAGGAAAAAACACAACAACATAAAAACCAACTCGTCTGCCAGATGTTGTGGCTCCCCAAAGTAAAGCAGTGCAGCCTTTGCTCTTCAGCGCCACAGACTGCACATATCTTACACTGCTACGCAAACAGTCAGAGTTTTTCTTCTGATGCCCATAAAATATCAATAAATGATTTTTTCACTTTACCTTTAATCTGATGTCAGAGTACTGTAATGACACAGCACAAGACATGTTACCATTATGGGGGCAGAAACCTGTTTTATTACCCGTCGCTGTCCACTGGAACAGTGCGCCAGGACCTCTGAGGCAACCAACAGTGGGGAGTTATAAACTCAGGTTAAGAAATAGTCGTTTAACACTTTAATCATAAGACTGCTTTGGATCCTTTTTCACCTGACTTCAAAATTTGTGTATGACCATTTTTCCTTTGAACGACAACAAGATCCGAAATAAACTTTGAGCTTTACTGTGCTTTTACCAGGTTAAGAAATAGTCGTTTAACACTTTTACACGTAACAACTTAATTATACTGTATGTCAGGACATGAGAATGTCAGGAGATGGATTTACATTAATATCTATAACAAAGGCTACTATGGCTCTTATGTAATTAGTGCATGATGTTGGCATGGGCTCTGTTTATTCACATCATTTAATGTTCCAGTGTGCTACTTATAAAATTTTAATTAATGTCTTGGTGTTTAAAATCAGCTCCAACATGCTTCATATTTCACTATATAGGGCAAATATCTTATTTTTTTGTATTTGTTGCACCTGTAAAATGCCACAGAGAAATTGGAAAAAGCAGCAGGAGTGTGTGACTTTCTTTGCCAAAAAGTAACTCTGCATCTAAAAGAGCCAAATCAAACAAAAATTACCCAACAAAGAATGGTGAGCATAATAAAATGCACTGAATGCAAATCTACTATAATGTCAATGAAAATAGCAGACGGGTAGCCCACTATTGCTCTTCTTCCACCACTTCCTGTCCGTACTGCATGTTAACTTTATACACAGCACGCTCAGTGAATATAAAATGTCTCAAGCACACTGTGCATGTAACCAACAGTCACTTGTAAACCTTCTATAAGAGCACCAAACAAGGGAGAAGAAACAAAGGGAGCTGTAGCTCAGCGTTAATATTTGTCCACACATAAAACGCAATGCGCTTAATGAGTGTGCGCTCTGACCCACTAATAAGAGGCAGAGCGTAACCACATCAGACAAGAGCAGGGCTAAGTAACTGGTCTGATAAATAAATAAGGAGAGCGCCCTAATGTGGACAAAGTGTTCATGCACTGTAATGACGACATGGCACCAGCGATAACAGTCTTATAGTACAACCACAGCAAAGAGCAGTGAGCCATTGTTTTCAGTGTGTGACTGGGTTTGTGCAAATGCTGAATATTTGTTACATATGACCTTAAAGTTTTAAACAACACGCTTCACCTGTCACACTCTTTTTTTTTTTTTTTTTACACTACATATTTATTTTCATTAAATGTTACACGGCCCGGTTTGTACTGTGTTTTGGTTTCTACCTGTTCTCAAAGTTTGTCCTCAAGGGCCACCATACACTCTCAGACCTTGAGCCAATTAATTCAAAGTATAAACAACTCCATCAAACAGGCTCCTGAATGGCTCCCTGCTGCACCTTAAAATGCCTGCTAATCTTACTTTTCCAGTGTCTGGATTATATTCAAAACTTAATTTTACAAAACCAGCCTGAAAACAACAGAACATAAAAAGTGAAATTAAATAAACATCAATTAATCAAGACAAAAAACCCCAGACGAGTGGAGGTTTAAATGTTTTGTTAAATTACTTTTTATATAAAAGTAAATATATTCACTTTGACAGGTAGAATTATTCTTTGTTAGCATTTCTGATTTTAGTTTACAAGCTCGTGAATGGTGATCCAGTGTGTGTGTAACTGAATCGCACTTACATGTGAACATGTGGAGGTTGGAAGCGGCTCTGGTTGATGTTGTAGTGTGTGAAGGCCTGTGTTGGGTTGGAGCTGTACTCGTCCACTGTGATGGTAACTTTGCCATGAGCCATGCTTCCACTGTTTGGACATGAGACACCGTTCGTTCACCGGGATTCAGCAGCGAGCCGTGCAGCAGTCATCCTTCAGAGCCGCTCGAGAAGCCCAGGAAGTCTCCCAGCAGCAGCGGTAGCTGAAGCAGCAGCGACCCGGCCAGCTGACTCAAACACGACACGCTGCAGTCTACACCGACAGGAGCACAGAGACATACATCAGCTGCTTTAAATAGGATCACAAGACATACACCTGCTTTCTGAATGCACTGGTGGGGCACATAAGAAATTAAAACTGCCAAAATACATTTATACACATTTAAATTTGCTATAAAAATAAAATATGCAAGCAAATCTCACATGTTAAGTGGCTTGAAGAGCTAAAATGACTCTGGGCTGAAGCAGTGCAAAGACAAGGACATGCACTGTAATTACAGCTTTTTCAGAGCACAAACAGAAGCTGTTTTTTTTTTTTGCTGTGTCATAATTTCATTTGGGAAAAAGTACATTCTTGCAGCAGCTCATTAAACACTTAGAAAAATGCAGAGACAATCTAAACACCTAGACATAACTTTGTTCTACCTTTTGAAACAATACGGCATTTTGTTAAGAGTATAAAAATATCTTGTTAAAAGTTTGCCCATAACTATTCCTTCAGAAATGAAACACTGGACCACTGAGGCAGCAATTTACAACAGCGTGTTAATGGTTGCTCTGCTGTTCATAGCCCAGTTGGTTTTAATGCAAACTAATATATTCAAATGTAAAAATTACTGCTGGCACGGCCTCTAAGGCGTCATCAGCCTGTGGAAATTAAATAAACCAAGAAAGGAGATCTGCAGCTATAAGACTGACTGGTGATCAAATTATTGCAAATTCTTCAGTAAAACAAAAAACTATTCACAATGCATGCATGAAAACAGGTCTGCTGTCTTGTGGACAATTACCACCAAAACACACAAACACCACAATGATTTGCTTTTGTTATTTCAGGCCTGGTGCTAATCTGCCCACTGAAGTGCTGTGGTATCCATGCAAAACTGTACAATAAAAAACATTAGAAAAAAACACAGACACATTCACCCCTTAAATTCTGGAAGGAAAAGCAGCTAAAATGCTTCAAAGCTTACTCACCGGGCTTTGCGGCGTGTCCCCTCACACCCTGAGCTTCCCTTCTGTCTGACCTCCCTGACTGATAGTAAAGTGGCCACTGCGGTTTGACAGGCTTTATATACCAGAACTCCTGATGCAGCCGCAGGCAAAAACACACACAAACGGGGGGGAATTTAACAACTCAGTCATCTCTTCTGGAGGCAGGTCAGGAGCGCCCAAGTTCATTTGTTAAATCCTGTGATGCTGAAGTGGCTAAAAAAGCTGCGACCTAGACCTGGTGAATATCTTAAAGCAAACAATCCCAATTTAAAATAAAGGCTGTCCTACTTTGACAAAAGCAGTGATTTATGCTTTCTGGGTCAGCAAGTTGTGTGCTATGAATTAAAGTAAGAAAAACATATATATACCAACCTAGAAAAAAAGGTGGGTAAACTCAGGTCCTGCAAATACAAACAGAGCTTAAACTGAGTTTTAGCAGCTGGACTACAAACGCAAGTCTTTACTGTGAAAACCTATGTCCAACACCAAATCACCCTTGCTGCTGGATGCACAAGAAACAGGTCTGCAAATTTTTCTGACCCTTCAAAAAATAATTCCACTTAAATTAAAATCTGCCCTCTTACATGTTTTGCACACACTTCATGTCAGCAATCATTTCTCCCAAGGCAAAATGTAAAATATCAAGTACTACTGCTGCTCGGAAAATGTGCTGTTTTGCGAATGTAGGCCGAAACACTGAGGACGGATTTGTGTGTTCCATGCTTCATCGTGTGTGTGTGCGTGCGCGTGCATGTGTGTGTGTCGGGCTGCTGAAACTCGCCTGTCTGTCTAAAGCAGCGACTAGCTCTCTAGCTTAGCCTGCTAAACCTGCCCTGGCAGTAGATTTTTATTTTATGCACGCTGTAGCTTCGCGCTGAGCTGCTTTTCTAAAACAGGGGTGCACGCGCGCACACACACACACACACACACAGCCAGCCCTATCGTTGTATACACACAGTGGCTACACACATCATATAGCTAACTTCACGAGTAGAAAGCACTCCGGTAAGCAGAGGGGGTAAATGCGAGTAAACTGACCCTTTCTGGTACCATGCTTAAACACGGTGTGTGCTATGCGCCGCTTGCAGAATTGTACACAAAAAGAAGAGTCCCTGCAATCCTGAACTCTGCTCCTGGAATAATAAAGACACCCAAAGATGGTCAGTGTCGCGGCACTGCCGCGCTAACCTCTTGCTCTTCCCCGTAAATGACAAGCCACCTTTTAACCGACGGCTTTGTGTCAGGAATGTCTTTTTCCTCCCCGTCTCCCCTCTCTCCCCTCCCTCCCTCTTCGGTTCTCAAAGCAAAGCGGAAAGGCTGCTGTACCTTCGTCGTGTGGGGTTTTTGTGCGTTTTTTATCTAGCCGGAGAAAGAGT